AGTTCTCGGCGGACACAACATCTTTGTTGGTATGTGGTGCTGAGGATCGAACTCGGGCCGCACGCATGCCAAGCGAGCATGCTACCGCTTGAGCCACATCCCCAGCCCGAGAAAAGAATTCTTGACTTCAGAGTCTTAGCACTGAAAGATGGTCAGGTCCATAAATAGATGGAATGGATGGATGAAACAATGGATAGATGGATAGATGGATATAAGTAATATAGCACAGAACTACTCCAAAATACTAATGCAATACTCTGCCACTTGTAAACCTTGGGAAATTAAATCTTTCTGGGCCTCTGGTTCCTCATTTGTAAAATAAAAATAATAATGTAATAAATAGTATTGAGGGCTCTTTCAATTGCAAAAGTTTAGGCAAAAAGTTAAGCTTGTCATGTCACATAACCAGAACTGTTAAAGATATTAAATCTCCAGCTCTGGTTGGATCCAGGAGTTCAAATGTTATCTCCATATATTACCTTACCTATTCTCTGTCATAGATGGATCCTTTTCTAATAGCAAGAAATGTAGCTCTTGTCTAAATTTTTATAATGATTTAGATAAAGCAAAGGCCCTCTGTCTTCTACTTTCCAAATTTAAAGTCTTATGAAAAGCTCTGGTTAACTGTATACTTAAAATACATAATTAGTTCTTCAGTCTATCACAGTGTCCAGGGAACGGGGTACTCAGACCAGAGCACTGTGGTTGGTAGCCCTACCAAGTCCACATGAAATGGGAGAGGAGTTCCTTAAAGGAATACAAGGAGTAGAAAAGTGGTCTGGGATTGGGGGTGTAGCTCTGCAGTAGATTCTCTAAGTGGACCTGGACTGACCTAGTTCTCCCTGTTTTCTCAATTGTAATTCTCAAGGATAACTGTAGAATGTGCTGGGAATGCAATGTCTTGACATAAGAGGGAGTTGAAACAGTCTGGGCTGTGTTCTGGTGTCCTTCAGAAACAGGATGTCCTTCAGCACTATAGGCTAGCTATAAACTCCAAGGTGGGTATAAACTCCAGGGTCAGCTGATTTTCAGGTCTCTCAGCTGCAGCAAAAGTGGAGAACATGGGCTGGGGATATAGTTCAGTTGGTAGAGAGCTTGCCTTGCATGCACAAGGCCCTGGGTTCAATCCCCAGCACCACAAAAAAAAAAAAAAAAAAAAAAAAAGAAAGAAAAAAGGAAAAGTGGAGAATATGCAGCTCTCCTGAGCCTTAGAGGCCTGGCTTACAACAAACCTAGTTTTCGTGTAACTTGTCACATATGAGTGTGTTGTCTCACAGGACTGAGATACGTTGGTTAACAACTGATGTATCTGCTTCACAGGTCTCCCTGATCTCTACTTTCCTCTCCTCAGAAATCCCTTTCAGCAGAGTGGGGGCTTAGCTCAGTGGCATAGCACTTGCTTAGTATGTGTAAGACCCTGGGTTCAATTCTACCCACTAAAGGAAAAAAAAAGTCTCTTATCAATTCCCAAGGTAGGGAGAGGTGATAGGAAGGGTTGTTTGCAGCCAAATTTCCCTCTAGATATTCCTCTCATGGAGCATAGAAAAATGGGTCAATAGGAAAGAGGGACACTGCTGGCTAAGCCAGGGGAGGAATCCTAGAGGTAGAGAAGAGAGCTAGATTTGCTTCCAAAGAGCCTTCCTTTAACTTTGTTTCTCCAAGGGTGGAGTGGATCTCAGATGATGAATGTGTAGCCACTGTGATAGGCTTATGCAGAGCTGGAGAATCTGAGTGGGGGTCTTCTCCAGCCTTACCCTGCTCCTATGATTGTGGGAGATGGCTTATGTCCTATCTTTCCCACTTCTACTACCTCCTATATTTTAGGACTAAATCTCTACTCCTGAACCAAACCCTGACTTCCAGCCTTGAAACGTAGTTCAATACCTCCAAGAGGGCAACTGCACAAAACTTCTAAGGACAACAATGAAACCTCACACACACGGTGTCCAAACTGCTGATTGCTGAGATTGTTAGACCTGAAAGTAGAGTGAGAAATGGGTGCAGGGAGGCTACTGAGAAGAGTTATAAAAAGGAAAAAAGGCTGAGCACAGTGCAAATGCCTGTAATCCCAGCTACTCAGAAGGCTGAGATAGGAGGATCACAAATTCAAGGCCAGTCCCTGCAACTTAGTCTCAAAATTTAAAATAAGAAAGGGATGGTATGTAGCTCAGCATGCAAGGCCTTGGATTCAATTCGTAATATCTGAAAAAAAAGAAAACCTTCTGCAAAGAAACCGTAGGGGAGCATATCCAGCAAGGCGTTTCACTATTAACTCATGTTGCATTTGATTCTGACATTAACCATCCATGAGACCCCACAGGTTTAGGGGGAAGGTCTCTAACAAGACTGTGGGCATGGTGGCGCACACCTGTAATCCCAGCAACTCAGGAGGCTGAGGTAGGAGGATCTTGGGAGGCTGAGGCAGGTGGGTCACAAGTTTGAGGCCAGCCTCAGCAAATTAGGGAGACCCTAAGCAACTTAGTGAGAACTTGTCTCAAAATAAAACTTAAAAAGGGCTGAGGATGTAACTCAATGATAAAGCACTCCTGGGTTCAATCCCCAGTATCCAAAAAAAAAAAAGGAAACTCACTCAGAAAATTCAAGAAAGTGCTATTTACAATTGTTTATAAAGAGTGTAAGTGAGTAATGTCCAAATGAAGAGACACATAGAATAAAGTCTGGGAGAATGCCAAATGCAGGGCTTTCGTGCTTTCACTGGGGACATAAGATATGTATTGCCCTCCTGACACATCAATATGTTTGTCAACCAAGAAGTTCTGTGAGCTTTGGTGTCCAATTTTTATTGAGATACCATTACATAGCCTTGGTTGAATTTTTGGCCACATACCAAAATCAATCTCCAGCCTCTCTCTCCTTTCCAAAGTCTGGCTGACTTAAAAGTGCCAACCCTCTAACCACAATTGGTCTTTATGGTGACAAGCTCCCATCCTGAGTCATCTCATCTTTCAGCATAAAGTTACCTAAAGGGCTCACAAATACCAAAGACACTCAATTACATATACTCCTAAACTTCCACGGGGATTATGACCCTAAAAACCTATCATAAGTTGAAAATATCCTAAGTCTAAGCATCATAGTTTATCAATACAGTACACTGAGAGCATCAGTTATGTATCTTCATGATCATATGACTGGGAGCTGGGACTCACTGACATTGCCCACTATCTCAAGGAGTATTGTACCACATATCACTGGGATAGGAAAAAAATCAATCTTCAAAATTTGAAATATTGAATGCATGCAGCTTTTGCACCATTATAAAGTCAAAAATTCCTAAGTCAAATCATCATGAGTCAGGGACCATTTGTACTTGAGAAATTCCAGAGTTTTAATCTCCTCAAAAACCAGTGATAAATACCAGTCTTTGCCCCTCACAAAAAAGCTTTCTAGGAAGCTGGGTCCCAGGGCTCCATTCTCTCTGACCTCTGACTCCAGGTTCACCATAATGAGGGTCCATTAGCTTTGGGCACCCCAGATCAGCCTGGGGTGTGCCACATTATCCAGAAACTGAAGAAGTAGTCCTTTGCCAAGACAAAACCCTCAACCCTGCTTCCAGCTTCCAAAGCCCTATTGAAGATTGGACCCAACCCAGGACTTTGCCTCTCCTTCCTTCCCAAGAGCAAGCCCCATGTTAAACAATGACAACACCAGAGGAAGCCCTTGCCTAAGTGAAGGGAATCTCCTTGGCCTGGAGAACCAAGGACCAGAAGAAAAGACCAGGCTGCTCTGCACCAGACCTGACTCAACCAGAGCAGAAGTACCAATGTATGAACAAGAGTATGAGTGTGGCAAGATCACAGCCTCTTCATGTCCAAACTGCAGTGCTTCCAATAAAGCCACCTGGCATTCACTGTTGAACCTATCTGTTGTTTGTATGTAGTGCAGGCTCGGGAAGATGGATATGAGAGAGAATAAAGGTGTCAAATGAGTGAAAGGGTAGTGTATCCATTCCTTCCATTTCAGCTGAGGAAACTTTCCTCTTGCTCATTTTGGGTCATTCTCTCCTATACAACCAGTCCAGCCATAAGACTCTTTTTTTGCTCCTCCAAGACAAACTGTAGGTGAGTAGTGGGCCTTGGCTGGCATGTCAGAGATCTGAAGCTATTTCCAAACTGCTACAATGGGTTAATGCCCTTCTTGACTCTGGTGCAGCATCCTCTATCTTCCCTAGCCAGCCTGTTCCATTTATTGTAATGATCTAATTGTCTTCTTTTGACTGTTCCAGCTCTACCCCAGATGATGGCTCTTCGAAGGTGCAGACTGCCTGTATTCTTTCACACTATATCTTCATGTTCAGCACAGTGCCTGCATGAAGTAAACACTCAGTACATAGCTGTTGATTGAATGTCTATAAAAATAAAAAGAAAAGCACAGGAAGATCAGTTTCAGCTCAAAAGAGGAAGGGGTACATCTATCTGGCCATTAAGTGACTTGGCCAAGACCACTCAGATATGTTTCCACAGCCTAGCCTGCTCTAGACTGGGTTCTATAGGGAACCCATTCCTTCTCAGGCTAGGATCACCCAAGGAAGGGGAACAGGGTAGGCAAGAAAGGCAACTGGCATGGCAGAAGTCAGGGAGGGGTAGTGGGGACTGGGAAAACTGTTGGGACAGATTCTCAAAGCTATTTCATTACTGCCAGATGCTAAAGCCTCAGCCTCCCGGACTGTAACTCCAAAATCTGACGACATCCCTGTAAAAGGATTCTATGCCCCGCATTTAAAAAAAAAAAAAATCCTCAATTCCTCCCTTTAATGACAGATCCTAACTCCACCTCAGAACGTAACATATTGATTCCGCCTTTTCTGAAATTCTGGCTCCGCCCCTTCCGGGTGATAGGCAAGCCCCACCCCTAGTGTGGAAAAGCGTCCCTGTGACGTAATGGTAACGGCCCGTTTCCGGGGTGGAGCTAGGGAGGGCGGGAGTTTAGGCTGCGCCGACCCCTCAGCCCCCCTCCAGGTGACCCTAGCCCTTGGAAACCCTCACCCAAGGTCCCCAAATCTCCCAGCCCCATAATCGCCAAACCCCTTGCCTTGACCCTCTACTTGTCCCAGACCCCCGAGTTAATTGTCCTCTTAAAGCCTTAGCTTCTGGTGTCTCCCAAATCTTTAATCCCACCCTGTCCCGATGTGGCAATTGTCTTCCGGGGCACCTACTTCAGATTACCTGCGATTTAATCAGACTCATCCCAAGAATGACGGAGAAGGGGACCTGGGGCTAGGGAATATTTGATCCAATCATGCCTCTCCCCAGGAGACGTTCGGAACCCAGGACATGTCGGGATTGAGGAGATACGAGGTGGCGCTGGAGGCGGAGGAGGAGTGAGTGGAGGCGGGGTTCTGCGGAGGAGGAATCAGGCGGCCCCGGGTGGGGGAGGGTGCGCGTTCTCGGAGGAGGGGGGGCGGGGCCATAAGGGGCGTAGGCCACAAATGGAACCGCCTTTGTGGGGGCGGAGCCTCCCTCGAGATCGAGGCGTCCGGGGGCGGAGTCTGAGGGTCAGCCCCGCCCCGCCCGGCCTGGTTCTGCCTTCTTTCTACAGGATCTACTGGGGCTGTTTCTACTTTTTCCCCTGGCTGCGAATGTGGCGCAGGGAGAGGAGGTGAGGGGCTGCGATCCCGAGGGTCCGCCAGGGGCATGGACGAGACTCAGTCTCGGAGGACGGATGGGGGAGTGGGAATCTGGGCGCCGCCGCCGCACCTCATGCCAGTATCGGGTTGCCCTACAGCTCTGCGCACCCCCGAGAGCAGAAGCTGGAGCCTCTGCGGGGCCTGATGAGCTGTCTGTCGAGCGGCCTTGGCCCTGCTCCCCATCGCTCAGGTCGTGGCCTCCTCTGCCGCACCCCTGCCACCGCTGCCCAGACAGCCGGTGCATTAAAAATTTAAAGCGAAGCCCACCATACTGCCTTCCTGACTCTGCCGCCGCTGCCACCATTCGATGCCATCATTCGGACTGGAAGCCCCTCTCCACACCTATTTACATACCGACAGGATCTTCCTCCCTGGTGGGGTGCTTTTCCATATCAACCCCCCCCCATGCCTAAGGGGCCCCTATCAAGTCAGGCTTCCTGTTACTATCAAAAGTGACTGCTTTCCTGTGCCCCCACCACCAAAAAAGAAAAAAACAAAACAAAACTCCCTTCACTGTCAGTAGTCTTATATGGAGAGAAGTAAATAATCCTGGCCTGATCTCCCTGTCCGCCTCATCCCCATGCTGATATGTTCCCACAGCCCCATCTCTTGGTCACCACCTTCCCCCTAGCCAGAATTCTGCTGGGTATCTGAAGAATCTTCCCTTCCTGGGAACGAATCTAAAGCCCTGTAAGCCAGGGTTGTAGGAAGTAGGCTGACAGAGGAGGGGTGATTCCTAAGAAGCTGTCTCTTCACAAAAGCTGCCTCTTCATGTGACCTGCCTCAGGAGACTGATGTGGGTTGGAGGCCTTTCCTACAGTTAGTCCCCCAACCTGGCTTCTCCAGGCTAAGCCCAATTTTGGATGTTCTTAGCGTTAACCCACCTAGCTGTTATTGATACTTCCCTAGTAAAGTCCCAGGGCCACTGCTCCCTGCCATCCCATTTTATTGTGTTGCTCGAATCAGCCTGGGCTCCACTAACTCCCAACGTGGTGAGACGACTCCCAAAGCAGAGGACTTCTTTGTTAGCCTGCTTTTCGTTAGGGACTAACCTCAGCATTAGAAGGGACACCAGGGCGTTAAGTTACAAAGACAGCCCAGTTTCTAGCTGGGGCCAATGACTTTCAGCCTGGGCTGCCCCTTCGGACAGCAGACTTGGCCTGATCTTTGGAAAAGCCAAAGGGGAGAGACGGGTGGACACCTAGAATTTGTTTTCTGCCTTCCAAAGTTCTCTGGAATTGACAAGTCCAGGAAAGATCACAAAGTGTATGACGGGCAACCAACTGATGAAGAAGGTTTGTGACGAGATGATGGGGATCTTGGGGAAGTTCCTCGGAAGTTCTTCAGTGGCTACACCCAAGCTTTGGGGCACAAGTCCAGACTGGGAGTGAGAGGGATCCTAAGATCTCTGGTACCAAAGATTCAAGATGAGTCACCTCTAGGTTATCTCTTTGAAGAAAGCAACAAAGCTCTTAAGCTATTTCTTAACAATGTCTACATCAGAGATCCCTTCAAATGTGGAATGCTGTGTCAAGTCCTGGGCCTATACCTCACCAAGATACTGTCAGAAGACCTGAAGAGCCCTGAGACAAACTCCAGGGAGGGGCCTTCACACCTCAGCCTGGACAGAAGGAGAGGTCAGGTTTTCAGCCTGAAGGGGAACTAGTCCCTACTCTGGGAGCTGACATCTTTCCTGTTGAAGCAGTCCTATAACAGAAACAGTGCTCAGAGAAGGTGTGACTATCCCAAAAACCTATCCCTTAGAGGATGACTGTCCCCAAATCAGAAGACTAGAAAACACCCTGAAACATCCAGATAAGGACTGGGTTAATGGGTTATGACTCAGTTTATGTTTCAAATACAGTGCAAGACTTGAGGGTGGAAATCCCAAGTGAGTGGGACATTTTGCAAGGACCTGGGCCACTAACCCAACAGCCTGTCCCCATCCCTGCCCTACCCTAGGTAGTTGCCAGCATTCTGGAAAGCACTAGATGAGGAAGGGTAGGAGTGTTGCTTTGAGGGGAGGGAGGAGAGGAGGAAGGCCTAGGTGTGGGATTGGGAAAGAAGGATAGGAAGGAAATACAGTAGGGGCTACAGTGATAGGATGGGAGGCAGAAGGTGTAGGGGTTGGAAAAGTTGTATTACTGAGCCAGGCGGCAAGCGGGTAATGTTTCTCTAGGCCCACAGTGGAAAGAGGCTGGAATTCAAATAGAACTAAAGAGATGTAATTCTGTTTTCGAGTCTGATGTCTCCCAGTAAGCCAGGGGCTGAGTCTGGAAGTCCAGACCCCTACTGACAAGCTGATATTCCTGCAACAGAACTAGGCAAAACCAGGAAGGTAAGATTTCTTGGGCCTTTCACTGTTTTGACATCGGCACCAGAGTTTTTATCTCCCCTCCTCATCCTTACTTTTCCTCCTTGTCTCATCTTCCTGGGGAAAGCAGCCCCTATTCAGCATCCCCAGAGTACTCTCAAAACTATCAAAAGGGCCTTCTCCCAGCTTCTCTGAAAGTGTCTGGTCCCAGCCAAGATCCCTCCCTCAGCCCGAAGGGCCTTCTTTAGGGACCCATGCCCATCAACTTCTGATAAGACAGACATGCCAGAACAGGAAGTGGGGAGGCAGAGATGAAGGCAAGTTAGTGCTGGCCTGCTCTCTGCTCCCACCCCACCCACAACACCCCTGTCCAAATGTGTGTGTGCTAGTATGATTGTGAGTGTGATTGGATGATTATGGAAACACAACTATATGGGAGTGGGAATTTGAGTTTAATTGGGGCTGTATGATTTTGTCTATGACTGTCCAATCATGAGTGTGACTTTGTGAGCTTATTTGAGTGACCAAGGTGTGACTGTGAATGAGGCCATGGATATATGAGTATGAATGTCTCACATTACATGCTACTGTGGACCCTTAGCTGTCGTTAGTCACTGTATGTCAGTCCCCACATCATGCACTATCCCTCTGCCCTACTTCTCTGACCAAGGCTTAGGAGCCCATGGGAAATGGCATTACTAGAAGACGAAGGAGTCTATGTCTACAGGCCAAAATTTAAAGCTCAGGAGTGTCACAAGATAAGCACTGCATCTTCACCTGTCTCTGACTCACCTGGTGCCCCAGGTAAAATACACTCAGATAAAAGGTAGGACAGGAGGAGGAGAGAGAGGAAAGTGTCTCGGCTAGGCTAAACAGCATGAAGTGGCTCTCGCCCACCAGCAGCCTCCTGCTGCTATTGTTGCTCCTAAGCCCAGACCCTGGAGCAGGTAAGTACCTTGGGATAGAAGTCTGGGAATCTAGGTGAAAGGACTGAAGGGAAGGGGCCCAGGAAGTCCATCCTTCAGCTATGTAATGAAGCAGTTCTGGGTCTGGATCCTTCTAAACACACGGACCCATTGTCCCATAGCATTGCTACTGCCACCCAGCACTACCTGCTGTACTCAGCTCTACAGACAGCCACTCTCCAAAAAGCTACTGAGGAAGGTCATTCGGGTGGAACTGCAGGAGGCTGATGGGGACTGTCATCTCCAGGCTTTTGTGTGAGTTCTGACCCCACCCTTGATAGCCCTGATTCTAACCTCAATCCCAACTTTATCCCCCACTGCTAAATCTGATACCAACTTGGTTTTTCACATCTGACTCTTATCCCTAAGCCCTGGACCCTAACCTCATCCCCAAGCTATGGACATAACTTTGGATCTTTTCCTTCCCAGGCTTCACCTGGCTCGACGCAGTGTCTGCATCCATCCCCAGAACCGCAGCCTGGCTCGGTGGTTTGAGCGCCAAGGGAAAAAGTTCCCAGGGAAAAGGCTCCCTGCCTGAATCTGATGCTACAAGGGAAAATGGGCTGGAGTCCCCAACAGCTAAAATAATAAAGCAAGATTAGACAATGATCTGAGTGTGATATAGAACAACCTCCTCATTCTCTTTATTTTGCATCTTCATAGCCCCTGCAAGGGGCAAGGCCAAGAGTCAAGGACCCACACACGTTCTTCAGGCACATACATACATATATACATACATACATGCAGAGAACACATTCTCCCTACTTCACATACACATGGACACAAACAGGGACATTCCTCAGGTGGACCTCCAGTTCTGGGATGAAGTCAGAGGTTCTGACACCTTTCAGCTGGCACATTTGGAATAAACTATTTCAAAGAAATGGGATCCAGATAGAACTTCCAGCTGATAGCACTGTCCAAAGGGATCTACAGTCCTGCTTGGTTCTATCTGTCCCTTCATCCAAACCAGCAAGACAGACTTATAGGTGAAATCAGCTGAAGTTCTTCTGGGTCCTCTACAGGTTTGGAGCACCTAAAAGAGCAGGAGGCAAATCAGGAGAGCTAGCAGAACTGGGTCTTAGTCTAGACATCTGAGAATGAGCAGAGCCCAGTTCTGAGCTCAGCACTCAGAAGGAATATGGAAGCCCAATTTAGAGAGTCCCAATACCCAAAAATGAGAAAATAGCTTTAGGCCCAAGCACATCAAGAATGAGTGAGGGTAGGGCTGGGGATGTGGTTCAAGTGGTAACGTGCTCGCCTGGCATGTGCGGGGCGCTGGGTTGGATCCTCACCACCACATAAAAATAAAATAAAGATGTTGTGTCCACTGAAAACTAAAAAATAAATATTAAAAAATTCTATCTTTAAAAAAAAAAAAAAAATGAGTGAGGAGACCAAGCACTGATCTAAGACATCCCAAGAAAAAGGATGGCTACCCAGCTTTGATCATTAGACTCAAGTATTAACCCTGAAAATGAGAAGGGGAGAACATCTAGAATCCTCTGTACCCTGAGAGGGAGCAGACCCACTTCTGAGCCAACAGACTTGAATGAAAAGGCCAACCCCAGCCTAGAAGAATGAGGAGATCCAACTCAGATTTATGGCACCCTTAAAATTACCAGCTCATCTGGCTCTTAAACCAAACACTCTCAAAATGTGAGCATACATCATCAAGTCCAAACCATTTGGAGGTCCTACTCACCTGGAAGCTTGTCCACCGGAATCATTGGGGCCAAGAACTCAGGCTTTTGGGGTCCATCCTTCCCACCCCGTCTCAGCCTCAACCTGGGCACAAAAAGGCAGCTGTCTCCCTGACATGGTGGGGCATCTCAGTCTCCTCCAAAAGGGTTTGTTAGTAAAGGGTCAGGAGAGGAATCAGTGAGAATCATGAAGTGGGGTGTGGGAGGTCAGAGTGGGGAGAGGTAGTTCCAAAAACAGATTAAATGGTAAGGCATGAAGGTTGGGGATGAATGTGGTCTCTGAGGATCAGAACATCTGTGGAGATTTAGACTGAGGAATCAATGACAGTCACTTACCACAGCCCCAGTGCTAGGGCCCCAGCTGCCAGTCCCAGGAAAGAAAAGATTCCTAAAGACACTAGCATAGCCACCTGCTCCAGGGGGTCCCTGTGATCTGAGGGGAGGACCATATACCACTATGAGAGTGAACCCAACCAAGCTCAGGTGGGGTATGTCCTTTTCTCAGGACTTTTTGTCCTCTACAACCTTTGTCCATGTACCCAAACTCACCAAGCGGCCGTGGGTCTGGCTGTAGAGAGGGCCTTGGAAGAGCAGGGCTGTCCACATGAGCTATTGTCTCCACCTGCACTTGTGGCTGGCTCTCATCAGGTACTTCTTTTGGCAGGGGCCCTTGAGGGAAAGCGAGACCTGAGAAATGTCCACAAATGTGCACAGACAGTGGGGGCAGGAGCCAGGCCTTGGGTTGCACTTAGGGGTACCACTTGGGTCACACTTAGGAAACAGATCCTGAGAGAACATGGCCAGCTTTGGGGGACTTGGTTTGTAAAAGTAGAGCCTGCAACTACAGAGATGGAGACTAGAGGCAGGGTTTAAACTAAGGCAGAGTTGCAGGCCACAGGGCCTGAGAAATGGGATAAAAATCTCAATCAGTGCCTACATGAGTGAGGAGTATGTCACTGGGCTGCCTTCAGTGAACCAATACAGCTAACAAATGCTTGGAGTGGGTCCTCTGCCCTTTTCTTTGACTTTGTCCCTCACCAGTACTGGGAGTCCCCCAGACCTCAGGGCTCCAGGCACTCCAGGTACCGGCATCCAAAAAATCCCGGGCACTGACTCGGACCGCATGAGGCAGCCCAGCCACAGCATCAGTGATCACCTCTTCCAAGCCAGCTGGCTCCACCTGGGGAGAAAATGATTTCTCAGTGCATTATCCAGGTCATAAGCACAGAGCTTACCTAGTCACAGTCTGAAAAGAGCTCCCCTTCCTCCCAGTCCTGTCCTATCAGCCTCAGAGGGGGCCCAGGCCTCATGTAGGGTAGCTGATGAGGAAGAGTCTACCCCTGGTGTTTGGAAGACAGTAGTGTGTCGTGATTACCTAGATAGGCTGTGGCTTCATTCTGTCTGGGTTCAAATCTTTGCTAAACCTCTTACTGGGTGAATTTTGGGCCTCTCTGCCTCAGTTTCTTCATTTGTGAAATGAGGATGAATATACCTAAGTATGATGATGTATGTAAAACATGTAGCACAGTGATCAGTTGGCAGACAGCATTAAAAATGGGTTATGATCCTCCACTGACACAGACTGAAGCAAGACAATTTTGAGTTCAAAGGCAGCCTCAGCAACCCTGTCTCTAAGTAAAATAACAAAAGAGGGCTAGAGGTTTGGCTCAGTGGCTAAGTACCACTGAGTTCTAACCCTAGCACCAATAAATAACAAACAAATAAATAAATAAATTTACAATACATAAAGATTATTAACATTTAAAGAGATGAAAATACTTATTACAATAATCTGATTACTACTACTTATATAGATGTACTGAATTATCACAATGTACCCCATAAAATGAATATATAAAATATATATTAAAGAGTTTTCAGTAACTTCATAAACAGTTGTGTAAAAGTTTTCTAAAATAAATTGAATTTCATCTGTCATGATTCTAAAGATGTCAACATATAATTTGTATACTTTCAGAAAATTTAAAAGCATTTTAGTGGATTGGGTTCAAATCTTTTTCTTTTTCTTTTCTTTTCTTTTCGTTTCTTTCTTTTTTCCTTTTTTTAACCACAAATTACACCCAGTGGTGATTAATCATTGAGCCATACTCCCAACCATTTATTTATTTATTTGTTTGTTTGTTTATTGAAACAGGGTCCCAGTAAGTTGCTTAGGCTCTTGATAGGTTGTTAGAGAATGGGCTCAAACTTTTGATTCTCCTGCCTCAGTCTCCCAAGTAGCTGAAATTACAGGTGTGTTCCACATTGCAATTTATTCAAAGAAGGAGGAAGAGTTCTTGCTATTGATTCAATTAAACATCAGTCTATGCTGCTTACTGTTTCAAGGGTATGTTGCCTTATGTAGCAACAGTTTCTTCATTTTCTGGTTGATATGTTTCATAAGAGATCAAAATATAAAATTCAAATGATAGAGAAATATATGAAAAATGTCTGACCTTAATAATTCATGCCATAAAAATTATGGATTTTTAGTATTATTTTAATAAGAAAAAGAAAAAATATTAAAGTTGCATTTCTAAATAGATGTCTGTCACTGAATATATCAAAAGATGTACTGTGGGAAATGTTGAAATATTATATATATCTTATATTCTACTGCTTCATAATATTGTTCCTTTTGTGTGATAATTTTGGATTTAAAATTATGACCTAATAAACAACTAAAAATTGAAAAAAAAAAAAGGTTATGATCCAATCCTGCTGCTCCCTAGACCTGACATCAATCTCTGATATCTTCAGAGGTGGGAATTCACTACTATTCTCAGATTTGTATGAGTGTTTGTATGAGGATATGCCTCTGGGTACAAGGTATTTCTCTTCCAAGAAAAGTTCTTTTTAAAAAACCACTGCTGGGCAGAATACAACAGACACTAGTATCACAACATGTAAATCAATGGAAGTGTAACTGATGTGATTCTGCAATCTGTATATGGGGTAAAAATGGGAGTTCATAACCCACTTGAATCAAAGTGTGAAATATGATATATCAAGAACTATGTAATGTTTTGAACAACCAACAATAAAAAAAAAAAAAAAAAAAAACCACTGCTATCTTCCCATAGATAGGTTTACATCATAATTATAGCCCTGCGGGGCAGAGGCTCTGTCATCCCAACTTCAACCCTAGCATCCAACACAACACCTGGCCTATAGGGAGAACTTTGTACAGGGAGGCATCAGGTCTTCAGGGACATTCTAGCACCTGGAAGGTATGCAGAACGCACAGTATCACAAAACCAGAGGCAGATTCAAGCCTCACCGTGGACCAGGCTGGATGCTGTGCTGGACGGTACTGCAACCGGAACTTGAGCAGGAAGTGGGGCTGGCGGGGCCAGGAGGTGGGGTATGTCCAGCTGGCACGCAGACGTCGCGGGTAACCAGGTACTGACTCCACTCGCAACCCCTGGGGTGGGTCAGGGCGCACTGAGGGTGATAATACACAAAGTCAGGTTAGGCAACGGGTACCCATCCCTCTCATACCACTTCCTGAGATGTGTGATTAACAGCACCCTAGCCAGGTGCTTTCAAGAGGGGAGGATGGAATCTTAAACTTGATTATCCATGAGGCTCAGGCAGGCCCTGTCTATCATCCTTATTAAAATAAATAAATAAATAAGCTGAGATCAGGAGGTAGGGTTTTGAAATGTTTGTTGAGTGAATAAAAAAGAAATTCTTCTTTCTATCCAAGGAAAATGAATTCTTATCAGAGTTTTAGTGCCCACCTTCCACAGACAGATCAAAAGGAGAGGCCAGCAGGGGCTTTCCTTGGGCAAGAAAGACATTAGATTCAGCTGTTTCAGCATAAGGCCTAGATGTAGGTGGTCAGCTCTGAGGCTAGGTAGGAAAGACCTATGAGTAATAAATAGCAGCAGCCTTTAGAGTGTGTGCAGAAGTAATCAAGCCTTCTGGGCTCTGATCCTTTTGACTTCTTGGTCTCTAAGGGGCCATCTGTATGTGGAAGGAGTCTATATGGGAATTATTTGGGAGCTGAGGGTGGAGGAACTTAGTCTGGGGTCTCCCTGGTGGGGATCTGAGGAGAAGTGTAGAGGCAGGTACTCACAGATATTCTGCAAGCTCACATCCAGCAAGCGTGTGCTGGCACCCAGTGGGTTCACCTCAGTCACATTAATTCGGTACTGGCTCCAAAACTCTGCCCCATGGACCACACATCGAGCAGCTCCTAAGGGATCCTGTGGGCATGGCCAGGGCCCTGTAGATGGACTCACCCTAGTAGGGAGAATATAATCTTGAGCTTTGGAAATGCCCATTGTGGGATGCATGCTGGAGCCCCAAGCCTCTCCCTCATGTCCTACCTCTGGCCATCTGTTCCTGGCACTGTCTTCTTCCTGGTAGGGAGGGGACCACTTGAGGTCAGGAAGGAAAAGAGGGTCCTCTGCCCTCTCTGAGGCTTTCCTCAAACCTCCCTCTCTGCTTTCCATCCCCACACTGTGCTGGCACACCCAAGTGCATATACACATACGACTGACCATGCACACACCTGTAGGAGGTGAGGTAGCGGGTGGGTAAACCGCTGACCTGGCTGGGACTCCAAGTGCAGGAGAAATTTTCATAGTCAGCTGCTTGGCAGGAGACCACAGGACGGGCTGGGGGGTCTAGAGACAGAAGGCACATCTGGAGACTAAGCAGTCCCCTACTCCTCCCTATCCTAGAGGGCTTGCTCAGGTCCTGATTCCCTTAGAAACTCCACATCTTAGCACTTCCACCCTCCCTAACTCACAGCCCAGCTTCAGGATCACTGTGCCTGCAAGTGCACCATCCAGGGTCTGGCAGATATAGGTGCCCTCATCAGTGCTGTCTGCCTGCGCCAGGACCAGTTGGTGCCCCAGGCCAGAATCGGGTCCCTGGAACAGCTTGGAGTCTCCGTCCCGAAACCAGGACACTGGGGTCCTAAAGGTGAAATGAGGTGATGACAAAGATTTAAAGTGTAGGTTAGACCATGCCACTGACTTACCAAGCCCCTTGTGACACAGCCCTTGCCTTCTTTTCCTTTGCCAGCTTTTACCTCCCTCCCTTCCACTCACTGCACTCCAGCCACTTTGCTCTTCTTTATGTTCCTTAGAAGTATTGAGCTCATACCCATCTCACATCCTTTGCACCAGCTGTTCCCTCTGCCAGGAATGCTTCTACCCTAAATTGTGCAAGGCTGCCTCCTTCCTAGAGGCAGAAATCAGCTTCAATGTCACCTTCTCTGAGAGACCTTCCCTGATTACCAATAAAAA